GCCATAATGGCATTTGCCATGGTGCAGCAGCCCTCAGGCCTGGCCAGAGGGCAGCACTGGCTGCACCTGCTTCTCATGGCTCGAAAGGCCTTTTTTACTTGTAGATTTTCAAGTCAATAGAACAGGCAGAGGACTGCTGGGATATGTGGTCTGGTTCCCCAGGGGTTTTGCTCCAGCTTCAACAGAGATGCGGAACAGCAGTGGATTTTCTTTCCTGTCTAGTCTGCTGGGACCACTGTGGCAACAAATACTAAGAGCAAAGGAAACTGCCGGCCTGCAGGGCTCCAGCCATTGATACCAAGAGAGAAATGAATGCGAGGAGAGCCAAGACCTGTGCTCAGTCCTCTCTTTCCACAGTTTTCCTCAGAGGAAGTAGGTACTCACCAGGCATTGTCCATCCACAGGCTGGGGCGAGTTCACTTTTCCTGTGACTGAATAAGCAGGAGGCAAAGAAGGTCACTTCCTCCTCATCGCACCCTGCCAAGAGTGGCAAGAGCTTTCCATACTCCCATGTCTTCAAGATTGCAAATGGTGTCCTGGACATACGCAATGGTTTGGGCAGTGTGCAGTAAGACAGTCAATGAGTCACCAACAACTGGAGAATCCCACCATGTCCCATCACTGCCTCGTTCCCTGCACCCTAATCAAGGTAGGCATCCCACAGAAAGAGTGGCATGGTAATACGTGGGCTAATGGGGCCAAGCAGTTTGTATGGGCAGCCTGGGTTCTGGCCTTGAACAGGGACTTTGGACTCTGCAGCCTTAAGAGGTTCCTTGCTCATTGCCTGACACTGTCAAAGGGTCCTATCATCCTTGCGGCACGCCAGCATCAAAGTCTGTGGGAAATGGGTGTCTAACTTGCCAGCTGTCATCTATACCAATAGTTGGGTGGAAATTAAAGCAATCTACACTGTCTATCTATAAAACAGCAAGCCACTACCTCAGCAACAGGGCTGAATTCAGCAGAAGTGGTGAAGTATAAAAGGCATTGCCCCTTGTCTGCTTCTTTGTGCTCTGAGCAGGCACTTGCCCTCTGGTTGGCTGCTGTGGGCTGTCTCTAAGTGACAGGGGATACCCACTGATTTCCTGATCTAGGACTCTTCAGTGACATCCCCTCCTTCTCTACCCCCAAAAATGCCGAGTGTGAAATAGGCCCGTTCTATCAGCCCGCGTTGCCGCCCCCTCATGCTTCCCAGATTCTGGGACATCCTCTGCTTGGCTTTCTCTGGTTAAAGAAAAACCAAGCAACCAAGACTGACTTCAAAGGGAAAAGCTTTATCAAACTGAGGATTCTGCCGTGTGCACTGAAGTTTGCCTGTTAGCTTAGCCTGGTCTCCTTGTATAGCACAGTCCTCAATAAAGCTTCCTGGAGGAAATTTTATTTATGGCTCATGTTTCAATTTGGTCTTGCCCCAGAAGACTGCAGCCAGGTTGGCTGACCATAGAAGGATAGGTTTGTGCTGAGTGTTGTGTGTAAACCAGAGGGCCAGAAAAAGGAGGGTTTTGCTTTTTCTGTATAATGTGACCTGCCTGGCTCACCACAAAGCAAGCCAGAGGGCACTATTCGAATCCAGGAAGAATCATAGACTCAGAGAAGTCCTGCTGGAACGAGCCTCCAGAAGTCAAGTCCAACCCTCTGCCTGAAGCAGGAACAGCCTTATCCAAACCAAATCCATTTTATTCCTAAGCATCTGATAAAAATCGCTACCAACAATGATCACATTGGTCCCCCAAAAAGATGAGCCCTGCTGGTTCTCAAGGAGACATATGACCATGAAAGAAATCAGTACTCTAGGATGGGAACAAACCATCGGTGAGGAAGAGGTATGTGCATGGCTCCAAAAGGACTAGGAAACAGCCACCTGTTGGAGACCATTTTAAAGGGGGCTCAGGGCCCCCCCCCCTTACAACCTGCCATTTTCCCAGCTCCCTTATGGGATCAGGAAGGAGACAGGGACACAGATGCAAGCACATGGGAAAATACAGAGCCCTTTTTCTCAACAGCTTTAATTCAAGGTATCATTACAAGGCCACATCTGATAGACCACAGCATGTTGGCCAGTGTCCAAGTCCATTCTGATCAGAGACTCTGGTTAAACCCAGCACAGCAAATAGGAATCATAAAAGCAGAGCTTCACAAAAGCTGTTCATCTTTTTCAGACAATGCCCTGGAAAACACTTATCAAGCGCCTCTCTGCATTACTGGCTGTTTCTCAGCACATTAAAGTGATATTTCACTGTTACAGAGGACCGACTAACAAAGATTGGCAGCCAAGCGCAGCAATTCAGTATGTACCATCTATGCTGAAATATCTGTGGGCAGATCATTATCAGCCACCAGCACCATGAATGGCTTGGGTGACATTGAAGTCCCGGGTCTGGGGCTAGCATTTGATCCCAACCTAACAAAAAGAAATGAAGTTTCCTAATGAATTTGTTCCAAGACAAACCCCCTCCATAGATCTTGGGTGGGCAGATGGCAGGACTGGGGCATCACAATGCAGTGCATGGCCACCCTATCTTCTACAGAGGTCTCACTGGCAGACTACAGGTCCTGGCAGACAGTGCCCCAGTGCCTGCCACCATACTGGACCTCCCCATCGCTCCTAACAAAGGGCTGGAAGTGTAAATACCAGTGTGTGACAAGCACATGCAAGAGGCTCAGACACTGAGTTGATGACACTTTGCACCCTCCTTTACCACAGGGCTTGATGTCAGGAAATCTAACTGGAAGAGTAGCAATGCTTTTAAAAAATTATGAAGGCTTTCAAGTTTATTTGTTCTAATTACCCGGGCAAAAGCATGGGGGAGGGGGAGCAAGCCATCAGGGCATTACCACCACAGAAGAGCTGTAATTGAATCATTCCAGACAATAAAACAAATGTGCTGGGTCACCTATACCAGAGAGCTTCTCCAGTGCCAGATCCTGATGCCACTCACCCCCGAGATGTAATAAAAACATGCTGATCTGAAGAGATACGGGTTTAATAATGGTCCATGATGAAAACTCAAGTGCTTTATCTGTGCCTGTTGCCAACAACAGAGCTGCTGAATAGGCTCCCAGATAATGAGTTTGCAGAGGGAACGCAGGTTTGGATTTGCTCTGATTTGCTAAACACCAGCCTTTTCCTGCCAGGACACTCCTGGCACAGAAACACTCATACTCTTGTCCCCATCCAGACTGGCAAGGGAAGCAGAGGGCATCCAGCTCCAATTCATTACCTCTCTGTGAAAACCATTTCTCCTCCTTCACCTTAGTGAGATCCTGCTGACTGCAAGGAAGGGATGAGCTTTCCCAACCCACCCTGGTCCCCTTCCATTTCTTTCTACCTGGACAGGTGAACCCCATGTATCATGAGCTAGACAGGTTTGATAGTACACCATCCTGCAGCTTTTCCTCCCCTCTCCCCCTGCCTAACCCCGAGTCAATAGCTGCTCTTTCACTATGGAAGAGGACTGGGCCTCAGAGAAGTCCCTCAGCTCACAGCATCCAAAGGGCAGCCACCACGTCACACCCTGCTCCCCATGCTGCAACTTCTCTGGCAGCTGGAACAGTCTAGGCACAAGGGGGACTGATGCATCTGAAGGGCTCTGGGACAGATACTCGCTGCCATGGAGAACACAGCCTCCTGGGCCAAAGAACCTACCCCAGCACCAAGCCCTGCATTGGTACAAGTGCCCCAGCTAGCTGGAGGGTGGGGAGGTGGAAAGCCCTACACCAGGTAGAGCAGGGATTGTGCAGCACGATGAAGCTGGGAACACGAGCTTCACAGCAGCCTGAAGGAATAGCCATCAATGGGCAAGGAGGCACAGCACGTACTACTACCCAAGAACCTCGCCTCTGCTTAGGACTGGAGTGTCAGTGGAGGGAAGCCATGGGCTTTGCCCAAGAGCTCCATGGCCAAGGACTTTGATACCAGGAGCACCTGGCTCCCTCTCAGCACCTACATTAGCCTTTGCAAGAGATCCTGCTGCAGCCACCTAGGCCGAGCTTGTTAGCACCAAGGCCACAGACATACCAAGGGGTGGTGTTTGATGGAGCTGTCTATCATGTAAGTAACAGCGTGGGGCATTTTGCCCCAGTGGGCTTCATGCCAAATCGAGTTGCAGGCAGCTCCCCTGACACCCCTTACAGCAGCTTTCTGAAGCCCAGTGTCCCACAGCCCAGGCAAAGGAGGCCTGTCCATGGCAATGGTGGCAGCTTTCACTGTGCCTCTCCTGTCAGGCCACAGGCACTAGATTCTGTTACAACAGAGTTAAAGCACTCCTCCACCCTCCCTCTCCACCACATGGTCATGAGGCCATGGTATACGCAAAGGAACAATGGGTCAGGGCAGGGTTGAGGTCTGGTGCCAGGCACTCACTTTATAAGCTGAGCTTCAGTTGTTGATAAGTGCTTCATTACCGCAGACAGGTCAACCCTCAATGCCTGCTGAACCAGCAGCTCTGCTGGGGGAACACATAAGCAGTGGGCACACCATGTGAGCTGAGCTGCTTTAGCATCAACAGCAGAGACATTGCCTTGACACAGGTCATGTCACAGTCACTGCCATGGCTGTCCCCAGCCCAGGCTGGGCCTGCTCTCTTCCCTGCTAGAACTCACATCCTTCTGACTTGCATCAGAAGCTCCCAGGGTGACTGGCTCCCCCAGTTCCTGCCCATCCTGTCAGGGAAGGAGGGGAGGCTGGTGGAGTTTGGTGCTGGATGTTTGTGGGCCATGGTGCCCAGTTGGCATTGCCCTGCATTATCCCCTGGTGTCTAAAATCAGCTCTGGCACTGCAAAGCCTCTCATGTAGAAGGTCAATGGCCTGAGGTTTCACAGCTAACACCACGTGGCAGCAGATGGAGGGCTGCCTGCCTTTCTGAAATGGGCCTTGCAGCCTCCCCAGTAGGCACCCCTCACACACAGAAGCACAGCCTTTTCTCACAGCCTCCCCCCAACCCCAACCTCCGGGAACACCCCTCCCCTCCAGTACCTGGATGCTACAAGCAGGAGACGCATTTGCACAGTTAAGATGTTTATTCCTTTGCAAGTTACAGTCACTTTAGTGTTTAAGAAAATACAGGTCGCTTTGACGATCATACATTTGTACAGGGGAACAGAGGTTTCTCATGGGGCTGTTTGTTCACCGTGGGAAGGCCAAAAACAACCTCCCGTCCCACTCCCACTTTTTGAGCTTTACAACCAGTGCCCTTCCCAGGGCTTCACACCCATGGCCCGTGGCTTTAGTTATGCTTTAACAACCTGTTGTTTAAAGCATATCCAGTTCCAATGGCTTCTATGCAGAGCACTGCCAAGCTCCAGAAGAGGGTCCTCTGGTTAGTGACAGAGCATGGGCAGAGTGCCATGCTCAACAGACCCGGGTCAGTTGGGGACCACATCTGTGACAGGAATTTTTGCTAGGTCCCTAGAAGATATCGAACTAAAGGGGTCTCCACACGTGCACGTTCACAGAGCGACAATGCCAGGCTCAAGCACCCTGTCACAGGGAGAGGGGATACGGCAAGGCAGAGCCAATCACTACTAAGCTCAAGGCAAGAAATCCACAGGCGGTAAAGGCAGCACTCCCTGCTCCCAGCTACACACCAGAGGAAACAACTGGGCAGACAGCAGGAGGCAGGCTACAGCTGTCACCAAGCAGGACATGCCTCAGGCCTGTGTTGAGGCCAGAGGCTTCTGGGAACAACGTCGCTGCGACAACCATTACTTCTGTGCCAGCACAGTGCACATGGGATTCAAACCTAAGCAGCATGATGGAAGCAAACCAGAGCAAGCAGCTGTTGGGGGAGACCCCAGCCAGGCTGGCAGGCTGCAACCTAGAATGAAGCCTGGGGTGAAGCAGGTATGGCTCCCCAGACACTGTACTGGAGATCCAGTTAGTGCCTCCCTTGCCAGGCCTGTGGCACTTTTGCACTAGCAGCGAACAAAACAGATGTTACAGAAGCTTCTTCCAAGCACTGGTGGACTCACCTGGGTAACTGCAGGGAGAGATGCATATGGAGAAGGGATAGGCTAAGGCAAAGGCCTCTTGCTTTAGGACCTCAAAACACCAGCAGAGCTGAACACACAAGGCCGGCCAGCCTGATAAGCCCCTGTTGTCTACACTCAGACAGGTAACCACCCTCCTATCCCAGGCCCAGTAACGAATCCGCACCCTTGTGCCAATCCGCTTTCAACTCAGTGTCAGAGCTCTCCTAGGGGAGGAAGAACTCAGGGGGGCGCTTTCCACTGGGGTCCTGCACTGCAGACACTTCTAAAAGGCCCTTTGGCATTATCTGAACGCTAGGCCTCACCTGAAGGAATAACAAGGTATGAGCTGTACTGGACAGGGATGGGGAGGAAGTGTCAACAAGAGATGTTTATGATCCAAGTGGTTCTCTTGGTCCAGTGCGAGGTCCGGTTAGCTGGTGCCAGAAGCAATCTCTGGGAACTCCTTATACATCTCCCAGATGATCATCTTGTCCATCTGGCACTGCTGCCCCTCCTCCTCCTCAGCCAGAATGCGCTGCAGGATCCCCTGGAGGTCCAAGAGGCGGTGCTGATGCTGCAGATAGGGTGTGGAGCGGATGATCGCATGCATTAGAGAGAGATATTCCATCCGCAGCTGCAGAGAGTAGGGAGAGACTTTATACAAGATAAGCCAGAGCACCAGCTCCCATTAAAGCATTAAAATCAGAACAGCTGCTGCCAGGTGACCAGCAGGAGGGGACTCCATCACCCATACCTCCCCTGCCCCCACCCAAAATCACACATCTCGCTTCCCCCAGCCTTGGCAATAGTTACAGCAGCATGTTCCCGTCTCTGCTTCACACAGGGGCTAAGAAAGGCAACTGCTTTTCTCCTGGAAGCCCCAAGGAAAGCCCACTGGCCTGCATGGTGAATGACCGCATTAGCCAAAACCCCAGAGTACCCTGAGCGAGCACTTCTGACCACTTTCTGTTGGGGAGGGAAACCGACCCTGCCCCCCTGCACTCCAGAACAATCCAGGCCACTAGTGCTCCTGAGAGCTGGTGCCACCCATGCCGACAGGAATGTGGGGATTCTCTGACAGAGCCCTGATAGCTCCCTAGAAGGCAGGTGTGTGGCTGAATGTGTCTGTTTCCAAACAGTCAGGGCACTCTCAGGGCCTCCAGAACCTGGCATAAGCATGTCCTTCTTTCAGCAGACAACAGGCAGAAAGGGGGCTGGCCTCCCTGCTGGCCCTGCTGTCGAGAAGTCTCGGCTGCCTGTCAGCTGCTGGACCGGCAAGAGACTACAAGGTTGCAGAGAGCCCCTGCAGGCTGCTTGGCCAGTCCTGCCAAGCCAGGAAAGAAGGGTCCAGAAATAAGTGCTCCACCCAGCCCAATCACCCACCGCTGCTCCAGACTGCTCTGCTCCAGTGCCCCTCCCTGGCTGCACAGCACCACTACACAGTAACTCTGCCTCCTGAGGCCCCAGCCCCTGCCCCTACCCCCAGAGCCTTGTGCTTGGTACCTTGTCTCCTGGGGAAAGGTCTGCAATCTGCCGCACCGTGATGTCGATCATCACCATCATGTCTGTGTGATAGAAGATGCTGGCCGTGTCCTTGCTGGCAAAGATGTCCTGGAGGAACTTCAGCACTGAGTGCGGCGGCTGGGGCTGGTGCTTGAAGATGCAGACAGGATCATCTGGTGTCCAGACAGAGGAGGACATGTGTTAACATACACATGCAGCCTCTCACCAGAAGGGCAGGAAGGTGAAGCACCTCTGCCAGGGCTTCACCTGAGCACTAGCATTCTTTCCTGCCCATGGCAGGTGGTTGGACTTGATGATCTGCTCAGGTCCCTTCCAACCCTACCAACTATGAAACTATGACACGTGCAGAGAACAGAATGCCTAAGGGCTCGCTGGTATTCACTTAATCCCAGTCTGCATTGTACCTAGCATGCTGCAGGGAAAAGTGCTGCCCTGCTCCTGGCCTGGATGAGCCACAACGGCTCACTTCCCCCCAGTTTATTAATCCTGCTACAAACCCCTCCAAGCAGCCAGCAGGACTAGCATGAGCCTTCACCATGGGGACCAGCCTAACCATCTACCTGGAGCCAGCAGCACCCCTCCAGGCTTCAGCTGGCTGCTGTATTCCCCCTCCCCACCCTTTTGGAGCAAGCTAGTGCTAGAGACCTCACAAGGCTTTCCGGACCACAGGGACTCCCCTCCCCAACCCCACCCTCATTGCCCAAGCAGAAGGAGGGGGCTGGTGTGATTCTCACTAGGAGTCTGTGGCTACCCAAGTTTTGCTGCTTACTACAGTCTCTCTGGACAAGGTGGAGGCATCAGGTAATCACACAGTGAAAGGGTTAAGCAGAGTCTTTGGGAGGAGGCCAAGTGGAGGAGCACTGAGGCTGCCAGCAGCCTTTGTGGGTGCTGTACACAGCCTGTGACTCACAGCCCTGAAGGGAATGAAAACCTGACTGAAGAACTCCAGAGATGATAGACATGGGTCAGGTTATTTAACAGCAAAGTCAACAGAGAAAACCAAAGCAGCAAGGATCCAGCACTCCAGAAGGCAGCAGAAGGAAACTGTGCCAGGGTGCAGGAATAGGTAGAAAGACCTGGCATTGCACGGTGGGGGGAGCAGAGCTCTTCAGGAGTCTGATGACCTGCCGTATAAAGGCTCTGCACAAACACTGGGTTTAACATGCTTCCGGCAGCAGCAGAACTAACTCTTGTTGGGGGAAGTAGAATGGGACAGTGCCCTGTAAGCAGAGCTCACCAAGGCAGGCAGCCCTGCCAGCTGGACTCCAAGCAGGGCAGTGACAGGAGCCCATCAATCCATTGGTCAAAGTCACACAGACCCTGGCTGTGAAGCACAATGCACTCTCAGGTGGTAAGGGGAAAACTGGCTTTCAAGCCAGGGAGAAGCCAAGTCCCCTGCACCTCAAGACAGCTCCTTGCCTTGTCTCCAAGGGTCTCAGCCCACAGAAACCAGTGGGGAATAGCTTGCAAGCAAACATCAGCTCAATGGACATCATCATGTAGCTAGCAGATGTCAACAGCAGGATTTCTTTCCAGCAGCCATGCCCTTCAGAATGCAGCTCAGCAACAGGAGACTGCACCTTGGATGAAGGCAGCAAATCTTAAGCAGGCTTTTCAGCTCATCTGCCAGCTGACCACCCCTCCCCACCTCTTAATGAGCATCACGCTCATCTCTTTAGATCTGTGTTGCTATTAGCCTTTCCCTCCTGCTGGGAAAGTAATAAAGCCACAGAGATACTCACCTCCCCTGTTCAGCAGTAGCAGCAGCTTTTCTGTGAAAGTCTTGACATTGGAGTGCTTGCTTATCGTAGTCATGATCACATTGTGCTCTGGGACTGAGAGAAGGAAAAGGTGGTTACTCCAAGCCACAGATCCCTTCCAAACAGGCTGCAGATTTGCTTAAGTTTCACTCTTTCCCTGTACCCCACCAGCTGCCTTACAGCTGGCACTGTCCCCCCACGAGGTCAGAGTAGCCTCCATGCCCTGCAGGAAAACACATTTTGAAAACACCACTTCAGCTTCATTTCAGCTCCAGCCTTTTGAAGTACATCCTACCCAGTATCTTCTCCTCCTGCCCCAGGTAGGCAGTGCATCACTGGGGCTATCACCTGCTCAGCTTACAAAAGTGAATAAGCAGTGGGCAAATGTTTGTGTGATGTTCCAGGCTGAGAGGTGCTGCTGAGCTCCTGAATGATGATGCAGGGAAAGGGGGAGAGGGGGTGGGTCCAACAAGGGACATTTCTTTCCTCCAAGATGTACAGCTGATTAGAAAAGTTGCAGGACAGAGGAGTTAGCCTTTCAGCCCCAGCCAAATTCATACCCAAGTCACAGCCTGCCTCCCTATGCTCCTCCTCAGGTTTCAATGGAGATGGATTTTCCTGTGCCCTGCAGGCCCAGACTGCTGCAGCTATTAGGGCTGTGCAAAGCTTCAGTAGCCAATTTGATTTGGAGGACATTCGGCCCGATTCGGGGGCCGACTCTCCGAATCAAATTGGGAAACCCATTAAAAGGTCTGAATCGATTTGGAAGCCTCTAAATCTATTTGGAGATTTGGACGGTCACTGCTTGCTGCTACAGGGAGCTGGACTCAGGCTCCATGCCAATAAGTAGGGAGCAGGGGGGAAGGGGCCATGGGGGGACCCCCACCTGGCTCCATGCCCCACCAGCTCCCCCAGCCCCCACCATGGCTGCCCTGCCTGGCCCCAGAGTCATAGTTTCTAGGGTCAGAAGGGACCTGAGCAGATCATCTAGTCCCACCTCCTGCCATGGCAGGAAAGAGTACTGGGGTCAAACGACCCCAGCAAGGTGTTCATCTAACCTCCTCTTAAAAACCCCCAGGGTAGGAGCCTGCACCACCTCTCTTGGAAGTTGGTTCCAGACCCTAGCCGCCCTGACTGTGAAATATCGCCTCCTGATGTCCAACCTAAACCTACCCTCTGCCAGCTTGTGACCATTATTCCTGGTCACTCCTGGCGGTGCTCGGGGGAACAGTGACTCCCCCAATGCCTGCTGATCTCCCCTGACTAGTTTATAACAGGCCACAAGATCCCCCCTCAGCCTTCTCTTTTGGAGGCTGAACAGGTTCAGGTCCTGTAGCCTCTCCTCATAGGGCCTGCCCTGCTGTCCCCTGATCATGCGAGTGGCCCTCCTCTGGACCCTCTCGATGCTGTTCACATCCCTCTTGAAGTGCGGCACCCAGAACTGGACGCAGTACTCCAACTGCAGCCTGACCAGTGCCGCATAAAGGGGGAGGATCACCTCTTTTGACCTGTTTGAAATGCATCTGTGGATGCATGACAAGGTACGGTTGGCCTTCCTAACTGCTTCCCCACACTGCTGACCCATGTTCATCTTGGAGTCAATGATGACTCCAAGATCCTTTTCTGCCTCTGTGCTGACAAGAGGGGAGTTCCCCAACCTGTAGGTATGGTGCCGGTTGTTCCTCCCCAGGTGCATCACCTTGCACTTGTCTGTATTGAAACCCATCCTATTCTCATTCACCCACCCTTGTAACCTGTCTAGGTCAGATTGTAGCCTGTTGCTACAATCTGACCTAGACAGTCCTGGCACTAAAAGGAGCCCTGCACTCACCAGCTGCAGCAGCACTGATTAGGGCCTCTGGGGGCTCGTGGCAAAGTCCCCCCATGCAGGATTGCCCCCCTGCCTGGCACCCACGTGGCAGCTGTCACATTGCACAGGTGCGGCTCGGTTCAGCAGGGCGCTGCAGTATTCCACGTGCTGTCCAGGAGCTGGGGCCACTTGGGCTGAGCGCTGCTGGGTGACTGACAGCGCGCAGGACCCTGCTGAGCCATGCTGCACCCGCGTGATGTGACAGCTGCTGCACAGGTGCCAGGCGGGGGGGCCGATCCCTGCCGCCCTGCACTGTACTGAGGGGCTCTGCCATGAGCCCCCAGGGGCCCCGATAGCTGCTGCTGCAGCCAGTAAATGTGGGGATTCCCCCCCGAATCACCGAATCAAATCACTGTCTCTTCAAATTGGCCGAATCCAAAGCTGAATCAAATACTTGCTGCTTTGCACAGGCCTCACGGCTGTGCATGCAGGGTCTCAAAACTACTAAGAGAATCTCTCAAAGGCTGCTGTTTCAGGGGCAGTGACCCCCATCTATACTGTGTGGATCAAGGTACTTCAGTGTCCTTCATGCTGAAATAACATGAATGTATCAACTGGTCTGCAGAACAGTTTTGAGCTAATGCTGCACCAGCCAACTGCAAATATTCTGAGATCTCCTAAAGTCCTGGGAATAAAAATTCAACCTGCTAATAAGGAACCCAATCATCACTTAGCCAGTTCCTGGAATCAGAGGACAAGTTGCTCTGCTTTCAACTGCACCCCAGGTGGGCAATAATCCCCCAGAAACACACTGCCTTTCATGCACTATTGCCTAATTACAGAAGCCAGCCAATGTGTCAGGTAAGTCAGAAGTGATAATGGATGAAAGCAGAGGAGAACACACTTCAGTCTCCGAGTGAGAAACTTGCACAAATTGGAAATTTCCACATGAATGTTAATGAAACAATTCCAATGACCAGGTGAGCTCCAGGACATGTCCTTGCTGCTTCATCCTCTCCTCCTGGGGAAGCCAAGGATAAAGGCATCATGTGGAACAGCGGCAAGTAATTAATGCAAGACAATTATGACCAAGCAGCAGGAGATTCCACAGATTAGCTCAGGACTAACAAGTGGCATCCCATACTAGGGCCTACCATTGCACTTGGCCTATGGACTAACTTCAGAATTGCAAGCAGCAGTGGCAGGCAGGGTTTGGCCTGGCAGGCAGGCATTGGCTTCTTCACAGCCAATGGCTTTGCTCATTCTTAGGTACCTCAATATTCAATCAGAGCATCCAGGAGAATGTGCTGACTGGAAGAATGATGCCAGGACAGACCCTATCACATCTTCCTTTAATGAGATTCAGGGATTGGCTAAGCAGCAGTCCTACCAAACCCCTAAGGCAGGCAGGAGGTGAGGCACAGAGGTGTTAAGCACCCACTGAAAGTGTTGCTGCTCCCAAATTGGTATTTCTGTGACATTAACCCATGCATGCATGTGGCACAGTATGAAGAGGCAGGGTAGAAATGCACTTTATAGCCCAAATAAATAAGATACATCTAGAGAGAACATGAGCTTTTGTGAAACTGAGTTCACTTCATCAGACAGTCTGAAGTCAGGCAGTTCAGTGTAACATGGCTAACTGCCTCTTCTCTATGGTGTGAAAAGAACCATCCAACTGTGAGAGTGGTGGGGAAAACAAAAAAAACCAGAGGCTGCAATAACCCCTTGGGCCCAGGCAGGTTAAGTAGTTTGTTACAGGCTCTAATTTAATCACAACCATCTTTCAGCCTGAGAGTCCAAGCTGGAGTTTTGCTGTTCCTTCTCAACCATAAGCACAGGTATCGTGGAGCAGAGGAGCAAGGCACCAGGTCCTCATGGACAGGTTCTTTAACTGATGATCTTCCTCCAAAGGAATTCCTTCCCTGTCTATGACCTTGCTCAGTACCTATTATCAAAGCCTTGGGAGCCCAGGAGAAGGCATCACACACATCTGGAAAGAGACTGGCATCTGGCCAGTTAACACAATGCTACCCATGGTTCTAGGATCTCCCCTGCTCTCATCTGTGACAGCAAGGACCTGTGACAGGAGCATCACTAACCTGGAATGTGGAGATTGAAGGCCAGCAGGACATTAACAAATAAGTCAGGCAGCTGATCTGTTGTGTCTGAGGGCAGTCCATCCTCAATCACCTCCAACAAGAACTGGACAAACTGTGAGTTAAGGTGTTCTGTACATGAGAAGAAAAGGAAAGCTGATGCAGTGCTGATAAGTCACATATCAGGGGAGTGATTCCCACCAGCAGGCTGGACTAGACCCAGCCAGTTGTGAGATACAAACAGCTCAGAAAACATAACCCACCTTTTACAAGCAAGAAACCAGCTGGCTGGTTTCCTGAGTGAATGAAATCCCAGAACCTGCACCAGCAGACCAACCACTGAAGTATCACTGGCACAGATTTGTATTCGTACCTAGTGGTTTGGTTTGTCTATTTAAAAATTAATCCAAATCCTTTGTAATAGCTCATGTTTTAATCTAGCTATTAGGGAGGCTTCGTGGCTCATGCAAACAAGTCCACCTGCAAGAAATAACTGCCAGGGTCATGCTAAAGGAGCAAAACAATTATTTCCAGAAGCCTGAACAAAGCGATTCACATCCCTGGTCCCTGCAGCACTGGTTCCAAAGCCTGCACATTTATCACAGGGTCTAGTGAACCTGCTAAGGAGATTCTTTGGCAAAACTCTCCACAGCAGCCGTAGAAAACAAAGGTCAGTGGTTCCCAAACACTGAGAGCATCTGGATCCAGCAAAGTGGAAGGGCATTTATGTGTGCATGTGCACGCATGTGCGTGCATGTCTGTGGAAGAATAGGGAATGCAGTTGGGAGACAAAGGCTGCATAAGAGCAAGAGGTTAACAAGTACCAAAATGGGGTTCAAAAGACAACAGCACAGTTGGCATCTGCCTGTTGATCCTCAAGAATCTCTGCTTTCATTAAAAACAAGAAGCTTAAAGGGTCTAGTTATGAGGTAGCTTCAAAAAATCTAAAGCTGCAGGCATCCCAATATGCCCAGATGAGGACTGTACCACAACCTCAAGAATTTAGGACTGAAACAAACAACCCTGGTCAAGGAGTCCAGGCCCTTGCTATCATGGGCTCAGCCTAATTTCCACTCTGTATGGCAGACTACACCCATCCTAATGCAAGGGGGTGTTTTACTGAGAACAAAGTTAAGGTCCTTGAGGCTACAGATCCCTGCATGCAGTGCTCCTTCTGAAGCCAAAATTCCTAGTGGAACTCTGGACTGGGATCCATGGTCTGTACATGCCCCTTCCTGTTAAAACAGGAAGTGACCACAGAGTAGTTCCCTAGGATCCACTTTGGTGACCCCCTGAAAGCAATGCCTTGCTCCAAGTCTGACACTGTCAGGCAGACTAATACCATCAGTGCTACAGGGGACAGGAGGGCAAATTCTATCCCCTTCTATTAAATAAAAGGCAAGGAGAGAACAATATTTTAGCAGGCTGAGGTGAGCAGGGGACAGCCAGGCAGCAGCATTAACAAAGAGCAGAACAGATTTCTTTGCAGAAGAGCTGCTTGGTAACAGCACTTATTCCTGCAGGTAGCAAAGCTGTTTCCACACCTGTTTGCTCTCCCCTCCCTCAAGATCTAGGATCACTGTAGTCCCGTATTTCAGTAGCCCTCCCCTATGCTGTAAGAGGAACTTGGTTCTCCTTAGCTACAGGGCCACCAGAAAACCCTGCAGGATGCCTGCGTATCGGCTTTTCCTTTCTGTAGTGCCTCCAGTTCCTACCGTAGTGATGATATGGCAGCGGCTCTCCCATAGAGAATATCATTGCCAGCACCAGTGCAGAATAGCACATCTTTTGATGATCTGTAAGATAAATCCAAAGATCTGGTCGTTAGTACTCTCAGGGGTACAAAGTGTGTCCTTTGGTTTGAAGTGCAAGTCATTTCAGTACATATAGGAAAGAATAACGTCTCGTATTTATTGATCCATGAGACAACAGCTATCTCCTTTATAAGACCCTTGTCTTCTGCAACACCAATAAAAATCCAGCCAATTAATAATGACCATGCTGAGGAATATAATGAGGCTGACGTGTGAGACATGCAGTTAACTGCACCCCCTTCTCCACCCAGCACAACAGACTGTAGAACTGTCTGGGTCTCAGGGCACTGCAGTAACACACACCTTTAATCACCACTCAGTAAGGCAATACAAGATGAAGACTCTGGAAGCCTTGTTCAGTTTTTGGTTCAGTTACCACAGCTTAAAGAAAGGTGGGGAAAGAGTTCCATTTTCTTCTACAGTCCTTCCCAAGCATCTCTGCTCCGACCACATCTACCCCCTGTAATTTCAGTCTGGAAATCAGGCCCTCGCCCACGCAAACCCTGCTTTACCTCCGCTCTGACACACACCACGCCAAGGGGACTGGTCTTGGACCTTTCATGAACAAGACAGCTATCAAGTGTGTGCTACCACTAAGCTACACATCAGCTAACATCCATAGGTACAAGACAAATCAGAGTAATGCAAGTTTTATGAGAGGCAGTTAAAAAGAAAAAGAGAAACCCCATTTTTAGCCATGAACTGACACAGGATTTGAACCCAGGTCTGCATACAAGAGGTCATTACCTTCATTTACAGTGCAACATGGCCCCTCACATGCATTTCAGTCACAACTTTAAAACTGCACTAGTGAAGTAGAAAAGCCACTCACTCAGGATGGGGCACATGTATGCAAGCAATAATCTACCACATGCTCAAAAGCAGACTCTTTGGGCCAGTGGTGCCTAGCAGAACTATGCCTATGCTTTCATGTAACGACCCCGAGGGCATAGAGAGAAAAACACCATGGCCCAATGGCCACTCTACTCCCTCCCCATCAGAGAAGCCAGGGTTCCAGGACTCTGCAGTAGCAAGGAAAAAAGCACATTTTGGACTGTGCACCTGTGAAAATGCCTCTGAGAACTCCTGTCACCACATAGCCTTTTTTGTCAGAATATTAGTTCTTGGAGATCCCGCTCTTAGGTTTACCAATGTTGATGCTGAATGTACCTGCTCCATGCTGCCTCCTGGCATGCCAGGCATGATCTGACTTCCTTTTGTCTGGCTATATGAACATGGGTGTCATGGGCTATCATTTGACCAGCTGGCTCCTGAATCAATGGTAGGAACTTGATATAGAGCTTTCAACTGCTGTATGTTCCAATATGTTTCTACAGAGGTCAGCCATCTCACAACCCCATGTGTGCTCCATCAGAGAAGCAATGCGTTACTCACTAAAGCATGGGCTGGCAGAAGCGATGACAAAGTCTGCCTCCATGCCTCCCTGAGGTCTTTTTGCCTCAATGGATAGGAGCAGAAGGATCCCCAGGGTACATGCATGGCCAATAGGAGGGCAATGTTGAATGGAAAGACTGCCTTCAAGCACATGGGACATTCATGTGCCACTGGACTGACCGGATGAATGAACACTTAAAGACAAGAGTCTGATGGGGTGAAATGTCCTTTGATACACACTCTCAACTGGAAGCCCATAGTTTATCTAGCTGTGGTAATCACTCCTTTCCTATAGCAATGTAAAGGACCACCTACTGCAGTCAAACAGAAAGGAGAAGACGAATGTGAGGGAGTTGGTGTGGAAGACATCTTTTCTCAACACATCAGAACAAAGCTCTTGAGTTCCTTTCCTGCTTCAAAAGAGCATCTTAACTAACAAGAGATGAATAATTTTTTTTTAAAACCCTCATCTACACAGTCCACAGCTTTCAACAGTTCATTGAAAAACTGAACCCAGGAAGGTATCCATCCCTTCAGCTATCTTTAAGTATTTCCTGCTCAGCAAAGGATTTCCTGCTCAATATTTCCTGCCACATCACAGCTACATTTGTTTGCAAGCATTTCTGCATGATACTGTTTTCAGTAGATTGGTTCTGGCTGAATTAAGTCCCCCCACAAGATCCTGAAACAATGCTCTGGCTTCCAGGTGTGCATTTTGCCAGCTTTCTGGGGTACACTGGCATCTCATGTATCACTGTGTCCTATGGCCTCCTGGTCCAGCACAATTTTCACTGGAAGTGGCTCTACATGAATGCTCCACCAGAACATAACCATTGTCTTGCTTGAATCTTAATTAGCCAATCCAATTCAGTAGGGATTTGCAGAAGAACCACAGGAAAGGGTATATAACAAAACACAGTTAATTGAGTCTGGAAGATTTTAGAAAGAGGTATGTGTATGCTAGTACAATGCTTTGCAAGCATGGCAGGATACAGAGAGATAAAGTACGTTCAGTTTCATCTCTCAGGCAGTGGTTGGGTCACTTATTATGTATGAAATAAATGAAACCTGGTTTTCTTTTAAAGCAGCAGGCAGGCCAGAATGATCCTTTTTACTACCTGAATGTGAATTTAGTAAAACTGTCCTTTCGGCACAGTACTTTCACAGTGAACCAGGGGTCCCTGCAGTCTATTTCCCCCACTCACTCCTGCCAATTCATTTTGAAGGCCCCTCACTCAGTCCCCTGCTCTGCTAGGTCTGAACATGCTGTCTGAGAAGGATCCATTCAAGCCATGGGAGGGGTCAAACTGCTGAAGATGTCCACTGTAAGCACCCTGGACAGAGACCATTGCTAGATCACTGGTGTATCACTGCATCAATAAAATTACTATACTACCCCCACCTCTCTCATAGAGAGAACAGTAACAACTACAGTCCAAGAATGAGGTTTGCTAGCCATTTGAGAGCTGTAGGAAATGCCATGGGAAGTTCCAATACTCCTCCAGGAAAGGTATCCTCCAGGCAGGCATTTACTACCTACTCAGTTGTTTGAAGTTTGCCACATTTACACTATGGAGTTTGAGTCACCACCCTGCATCAGGGGACAACAGCAACCTCTAAGTGACCCTTTTTAGCTGTGTTGTGCTGAATGCAAACTAATGACATCTAACTGCCCATTGGATGTTAACTCCTGCCATCCAAGTCTAAGCAGCTACTCTGTCTGACACATGACCTGGCAGCACGAGACAGAGCAGGCAAAATGAGTATTTAGCTTCTCATTATACAAGGACAAGGAGATTCAATGACCATTTAAAACACATGGCTACATCTCAGTTTGTGAAACTGTCCACAAAAAGGGATCAAGCCCCAGCTAAGTTAAGGGCTTGGACACTCATATCAATAATGGAAACACATGCAGCTATAGTGAGCAGGTAAACAATCTGGTAGGATACAAGGCAATCATTGCCTGCTTGATGCTGAGAAGAATCTCCCTGCCTGGGCATGTCATTCCATAATTATTCATGAAGATCCTTCATGCTTCTCTACAGCAGCTGGTGCTGCCTATTGTCAGAGACAGGGTACTGAACTGAGGAGGCCATTGGTGAGGCAATTCCAATTCTCCTAATACAGCAAGGAGCTTTCCTTGAAATTTGAAGTGATGAAATAATGACAAAAATGCTATTATCAGAAATTGAAAGTGTGGGGAGCAATTCTGCTTCCAGTAACTGGAAACCAAACCTGGAAGAAAAGATCCCAGTTAAGGAGGGGCTGAGGGAAAGGAAAAACTTAGACTGATGCTGCCCTGGCACATCTGTTCTACATTATAGCTAGCCAGGAAGAGAGCAAAAAACCCCAGCAATTAAAGCAAGGCAGATACACTTTAACTAGGTTTGGCTAAAGGCAAAGAATTCACTGGCATTAGAAACTTGGACCATCTTGGCTTTGTTTGCTGCCTGCAGCCCCCTCAGCCTAACAGTTTTTTGACCTGGGGGAGGAGATATCAGAGCTCCAGCCACAAATGGCTTCTTCAGTTCTAAAACTGGAGTAAAAATGGTGGAACACAAAGAGAAGCTGGACTTTAAACCAGTGCAATTATTCAATATAGATCTGAATATGTGGTTTATTGGTATATGGAGCAATGGGCAGATGTTTTGGGGCATTCCAGCTCCAACTAATCACTTTCAAGGGACTGGCGATTCATTGCCATATTCTTCATGACGCCGGCACTGTCCTGAAGAGCAGCATCTGCCATTCAAAAGCATGACTTCTTCTGGGTGGTACCAACTGCTGCAGAAATGCACTCAGTGTTAGTGAAGCTCTTTCGGAAGAATACAAGATGGTTATTTATTTGACTGGTTTTGCTGACAGTTCACCTGAATACAGCTCAACTATTTATGAAGGACAGTAGAGGCAGGGCAGGCACATAATTGCAGAAGCATTTTGCAACAAAAATGTCTGTTCCTATACATTTTAAAGACTTTCTTGCAGACCCTTACAAACCGTGCCTCTCCCAGCTCAAAATGCACAATGGAAGAGAAGGGCAGGGGAGGGAGAGACAAGAACTGTCTCTACAGCCCAAGCAAAGAGATTCTGACAGTAGTTTTACATATTTTGAACTGCAACAGGGGACAGTGCTGATTACAGAGCGGATTAGCCGTCTGTTTTCCTTGGAAATGTTGTTAATTCTGCCTCACTGTCTTTTTATAAGCTCTTCTGATGACACAGAGATAGATCTGCAGGCCAGCAGCATCTCAGGAAAATGACTGTCCAGGAGCAATAAAACCAAGGCATCTGGCAGAAGAACTGGATGGCAGCCAAGATGCCTGCATCAACCCCAGGGTAAAGTGCTTTCTCATCAAAGGCATCCAGAATCCATGCCGAGAGTTTTATCCTCAAGTGTGCCTCTGTAACGAGTCAGGCAGGATCCTGTCAAACTTCTGCAGCCGGCTTTGCAATCCCCAGTTGTCCAAGTGCTGGCACCAATGGCTCTGGTCCCTGCCATCCACAGAAGGGATTAGACACTCTGCGGCATATCAGATAATGGATCAGCTGCTGCTCCCAAATTCTTCATGCCAAAAGAAACTCAA